TCTGAAGTTACAATGTGTAAGTAAACTGATCATGGAAGTCAACAGGCACTCAGTAGCCCTGAAAGGGAGATTAAGCAGTATTTTTCAAGTTCACTAATTCAGGGGTAAAAATCCCTGAGACACAGAGAAACAACGAACTCATTTTCTTTGATGGAAAGATGTTTGTCAAGGAACATCATCAACAGACAGCCATGAAGATACACTGTAAGAGTGAAGAGCGACAGTAAGAACAAGGAAACCAACCTGTAATGCTTGGTAATGAGGAATGCTGTTGTCGGGCAGCATGGGGCTTCACCAAGGCTGCCTATTTGCAAGAAAAGCATTCAGCAGAAATATATGCAGAGATACAAAGCACAAGATACATACATGCTAACTTGTCATTAAGAGGAGAAGCACTTTTATAGTGAGTCAAAAACTTTAATCCCACTTAAATATAAACACTATACAACTGACCTGTAAAGTTAAGCTAGAAACAAGAACAAACAAAATATTGCACCCCAATTTCCAAGTCACCACCAGGACATTTATTACTTGAAGTCAGTAGATTAAGAAACATAGATTCATATACATTTGCTGGCACTTGATGCCAATGAGGATTTGCTCAACCACGAGTGTTTAATAGACCAGGTCATTGAGTTTTGTGCGACCTGAAAACTGATCTCAGAGGCAGCATGCCTCTGACCTTACAACTCCAGCCCCCAAGCTGCTGCTGGACATCAAAACTGCTCTACTTTCCGTGAGTCATACCCCAGCAGGGTCCTGTTCCTTGCTACATGCTGTGACAAGGGTCCCCGACTACATCCTTCTCCTTAAGCCTATTGCACGTACAGAAGCTGCTCCATTGAATTATGATGCCATGCTGATTTTCAATGCCATTTAACATGTAGGCAGGTCAAGGTAGCTAGATCAAATACAAGCTCACCCACACTGTTCACTAAGGCTGACCCAACCCTTCAGAATGAAGATTCAGTACTTCCAGGCTTTTAAAACATCCAAAGCATTAAGAAGCCTGTTACAGCTGACAGATATCAAATACCACAAAAAGCAGCACTTGGAGAAAAGTCTGGCATAAATAGGAAAGCAAGTCAAAGCAGACTTTAGTCTAATCTAAACATCTAATCCTAAAGGTTATTATAGGCTTCACGACCAGTATACTTACTCTATGATCAGCTACAAGTTTAGAACCATTAGCAACTAAACAAGTTGTAAGAGCAACCTTTACATTCTGACCTAAAGATCTATAAATTACTACTGTGGAGGGATGATCTAGTTCAAAAATCAGATTATCTTTAAAATAACTAGAAAGCAATTGCCATGCTTATGCAAGGCCCTTGCGCTAGCCACGCTTGCTCAGGAGTGGGGCAAGACTCTAAAAAACCAGATGTTGATAGTATGTGCCCTGTGCTATTTTAATATTGAATTTCATTTTATTACTTATTACTCTTACTACTGTTAAGAAGATAGTAGTTAAGCTGAGCTACCCCAGCCCCTCTTCAGCTCAACTGTGTAACCAGTTATGTGCTTTGTTTACCAGAACGGGAGTAGTAAGTTTTCAGAGGTTTGCTGATACGTTACTTCATCAAAAGGCCTTATGAGAACAGCAGCTACACTGGAGGAACACATCACTTTTCCCAGCAAGGCATTCTCCAGTGTGCTTGTTCTGGGGAAGACACATCAAACTGTTACAGCCCGATTTGGTATAACTTTCCCTCTAAAAAGCCATTATATTGGGGCATTTGTTCCACATACAGATGTGCATTTTTACGGAGGGACTGCTATTCCAGTTGTCTAAATGGACTCTCCAGACTTCAGGCTTTTGCCCTAGATTTAGGTCACCAGTAATTGGACATGTGTGGAAAATGCACAGGCTCAGTTCAGTGTTGCTTAATTAATTTCTTAGTCTGTTGATTTGGCAGTTGTCCTACAAAACAGAACAGTTGGATATTTAAACTTGCACTGAAGAATACATTATGACAACAGCAAGCCTCCCAGAAAACAAGCCCAACTCTTCTGGTACTAATGAAAGAAATATTTGAAATTGCTGGGAGTACAAAGCAAAACGAGCTTTAGTTCCTCAAGTAAGACTATCAGCTTGATAAATTAAAAGGCATTATTTCTTTCCTATAGCATTCAGATTGGGAAAAGAGATCAAGCACAGCACCAAACATAGAAACCCAAAGACTTTACACCAAGACCTTCCAAAGACGAAGCATTGAATGGACAAGTGCCAAAGTTGCACAACTGATGGTGTGGAATCAACTACAGCTACTTCCTATCTGGGATGTTATATTCCCAGGCAACTGGTGCGTGTAACCACACATTACTGCCATGGGACGAAAGAGTTCGGTGTTATCTGAGCTGTACCAGGCACCTTTCAGAACTGTAAGGGTTCTCAGAGCAGCACATTCATGAAGACAACAAACTGAAATAAGAATTAAATTTTATTCTGCTCCCAAGTGGCTTCTGCCACAGTTTTTTTAGTCAGCTTCCTTGATGTTTTTTAAACCCTTCCTGAAGGACACAGAACAGCCCCACTGTGCTGAGTCCTGGCCATCCTGCCAAGGTTTCTGTTGGAGCTCACTTCGCTCCCATCTATTTACTTCACCACAGGTCCCCACATGCTTTAGGTAGCTTTGGCTTATGCCTAAACAGCAAATGAGAATAGACAGCTGCCTCTCTGCAGGAACTTTTCTCACTTGTGACCCTGGGGGTTGAGTTGGCAGAGCTATCTGGACTTTATAGGAAGGCTGCTCTACAAAACAGCCTTATAAAACTCAATTCACATTAACTAGAGTAAAATATTTACTTTAGATCAGGAAGTATTGTATTTTTTGATGAAGAAACAGGTTCTTCAGACAGCTCTACAGGATTTTAAAGCTGGCCTAACATACCTTGATTTAAAATAAAAAGCCGCCCCAAGTCCTTTCACCAAGAAGTGAACTCTGCCAATAAAAAAGGCCTGAAGACTGAAATAAACTCACTTTAACAATAGTGAAAGGGAACAGACCTTCTCTTCGAATGCCTTTTATACAGGGGCACTCAGATAGCTGTTAAAGTAAAAACAACATACAATCATATTTGCAAAAAAGCTTAATACAATCTTTTGAGTCTATAAACAATAAATATGACATGTACATCGCACAGCAGAGCAGCTAAATACTAAAACAAGTACAAATTGATAACTTACCTATATTATCAGCAATAAATTTGTTTCACTACTGTGATACCATACAAGTTTAATATATCAGATGTTTTTCCAAAGGAAAACCACAGAACCAAGTTGGTACAGAAAGTAAGGGAGAAGGTGAGACAACAAATAACAAGGCACCAAAACCTCTCTTGCTGTAACCCTGTAAGGCACCACTGTGCAAACGTGAGAGCATCAAAACCAGTAGTGGAGAAATTCTAAATGTGTTCAAATGACTGGATAATGTACTTTAAAGATGACACTCTGCTCATATCTTTGGGAATAAAAATACCTAAAGCATTTATTTACACTTACAGACTTCTAAAAAACAAATTAGTGGAAAGGGTGAATTAATAGTCAAATACAGGAGTCACAGTTAATTTCTCCCAGACAGCTTCACAAGTGCAACTTGATCATGACCTATACTAGCCCTGTTAAGAGTCCTGGATCCAACAAGGTGCAGAGGGAAATGCTGCTGCCAATTACATCAAATTGTGTGTGCCACACCAGTAATTTTAACAAAACAGACTTGAGGGATTAGGATGAGAATAAACTCATTTTCACTTGTAACAAAATATTACTTCAACCCAAACATAAAAAGTCACAGCTAGGGATTGTAATACCTGAAGCTGTTATTTATACCTCTATTTAAGAGCTGGGCATCAGCATTTTTCTCTCTTACTCTGTTATCTGCTCAGCAAAAACATGAGACAAACTTCAGCAAAACCCTTTTCCCTTACTAGAAGCTTACAGATAAGTTTAATTACATCAAAGTCATTTTTCTCTTTTTCTTATGTCCCATGATCAATACTGCATCTTGCTAGAGGGTTTTGTCCTCTCTCCAATTACATAAACAGCTCTAGATTGCACTGAAATTACTTTAAATATGCACAGGGTTTCACTAATAACTAACATGAAAGATTTAGGAGGCACTCAGTTTTTCATAAGCTTCAGACACGTGACTTCTTTTTCACTTAGGAACAATTTCAGCACACTACACTTCCAAAACTTCTGCTTCCATTCGTGAAACTTGAACTGCACAGCACATAATAATCAATCTGAATTAACCTGACTATTCTGTTATTGGGTAAGTTTTGTTTTCTTACATGACATGTTTTAATCTTCTTACTTTACACTTAAATACCTTGCCACAAATCAAAACATTTAAGATCAGACAACCTGTAGCTTCAATGATGCTCAATCTACTGAGCTTCCAGAGAGGAAAGTCAGGCCAAACTATTACATTTTAAACAACAGAGGACATGGGAGAAAGAACAGTCTTGGGTGGTAAGTTAACATTCACACAGCTATTTGCTGAAAGGCAGTGCCAGGTTAGGCACGCTTCATTCCTCATATTCAGTCCTGTTTGAAGGAAATAATTTAAGCAAATACAATGTAAACAGAGCCAGGTAGACTGCAGTAGTAAAAGACAATATCATTGATCTGACAGGTTTAAGGCCAACTATTTATGACTTGAAATATACCACACTTTCCCATGGCACTTAATATGCTGAATTAAGTGGTGACATTAAAGAAGGCTATACATACTTATGTCATACGTGATATATACATGTAGCTTCAGTTCCTAAAATAGACAGTTCAAGCTTACTTGCCCAAATAAAATCAATTTGTGAAAGACCACCTGTGTTTTCCTATATTGAATAAAGTAATATTACTATTTTAATCAATTTAGTGCAAACTGACTTAAGTCCAAAGACATACCATTCCTGGATTTTTAGTTGCTACTTACCGAATGCCCCTATCTCTTAAAAAAAAAAAAAAAAAAAAAAAAGAGCTACACATCATTTTTTCCTTAAAAGAACAGCAAACGTGACAACTAGCATGCTGTTCTAGTCTACGTTAACAAAACTTGCTGATATACAAATCATGTTTTGGTCATGCAGCAGAAAACCATCCTCAAGATAATCCATCTCTTAATTCAGTCTAGAAGAGGAGCACGGTGCCGGATTTTAATTAGCAGGTCATTCTGGCCACTCCATACTCCAAACTGACAACAGCAGGTTCAGCTTTTGAGAACTCTGCCACATATTCACTGTAGCGATTGTCTGCTGTGTTGCTGCCCTCTATAGTTCTTACAGCATCATTCACAGGGATCAGTGGCTGCTCCTTCTTGAAACATGGAGGAGTCTTCAGTGCCACAGGTGCAGGATGAGTAGGCTGCTGATGTTCCTTCACAAGGACTGCATCTGGCTGCCCATTTCTCTGCTTTATTTTCTGAAATACAGAGAACAGTTATTAATAGTGATCATGACTGATAATATTCTGATTTGAAAGGAAGTGAATCCACTTTTGCTGGCTAAATCAGCATCTGCAGAACCCCGTGTTACATACCCTAGGTTAGATATGCAACAGTATTATTAAACGTTAGGCCACTGGATAACACATTTTTCCCCAAAGTTTACAGCAGATACTGCAAGCACTGTATGCTTAAGATTTGCAGCTAGGCAGAAGGCAGAAAGGTTGCCTGTCAATGTCCACAGAAAAGGTTCTTCAAGGCTTGCCCCCTTGTTTGGCAACTATCAAGATGGGAATACTTTCTGGAATACAGTTAGAGGAAGACACGATTTGATATTATTAGCAAAGAGGGAGTTGACAGTAGATCACAAGTCTCTTGAAGATAAAACAGCAGTTTCACACCTAAGCCCTTACATCCTTCCTAATAAAACTTCTAAAAGACTTCTAGATCTGAAAAATGCCAATACATTTTGTTCAAATGCAGGAATACATCAAAAGATGAAAATTAGAAAGCAGCACTGGAGGAAAGGACCTATCCTGCAAGCACTGAGCAAAAGAAGAGGAAACATTTGGATTAAGAGTTTGGGGTTTTGTGGTGGGTTTTTTTGGGGTTGGTGTGTTGTGTTTTGGTATTTTTCCATTCAAACAATCTCACCCAGTAACTTGAACTAGGTAACTGAACTGATTTTTTTTGTAGAAGTGAGACTAAGCCCAGAAGACTTCAGTGTCTTTGGCATCAAGTTTTTTTGAACGTTTTGAAACAGCAGTAGGAAAGTCTACATCAAGATTTCCAACAACAATTACATTTCTTCATCACTCAGGTGAGAAATGCAGGCTCAGGTGAAATTAACACATTCAAACACAGTTCCAGAAAATTCAGAATTGAGACTTCACTTTACATCTTGTTTACCCTTCAGCTTGCTTCATCTTGAGTTTTCATCTTGCTGCTTTAATTGTGTAAAAACTTCTAAATATACAATTAACAGTTGAAACAGTTTTAAGTGACCTATGTTCATTACATTACAGTAGGATCAGTTTAATAATATCTTTCCTCCTAGAAAATCTGTACCTCCCTCCTTCCACCCCCTCCCCAACATAACATAAAGGAGTTGTGTTACCACTTCTAGCTACATAACAAAGTAAAACTCACAATTAGGAAACTTTTGTATTTCTTAAATTTGTATTTCTTAAAAAATGTTATTGTGAAGTTTCAACACCTTAACTGACTATACAAAGTATCAATTAAAAGCCACTGGTTAAGTCATACTAACAGGAAATACACTGCTCAGTGTTTCCTAGTTTACAGTAGCACATAGTAGAAGTGATTTATAGACATCTGATCTCTGTTTTCAAATACGGATTACAATGTATATGCCCCGTGATTATGGTGACTTAGAACAGCATGCACCTACATATGAATTTAAAAGAAGGACAATACTTACTGCTTCCATTTTAGTAGCTATAATGGAAATAAAACATTTTCAGTCTCCTTGGTTTAGCAACAAAGCTGTAGCTATGACAGGCACCTTGTTAGTTAAGGTACATTTCACATGAGTTTAACCTACATTAAGCCATCTTCAATAACACTCTGATAGTAGGAGCACTTTTACATAATACAGTTCCTTGGTAAAGCAAAATACATTGTGCTTAAGAGCAAAACACTGGCTGCATAGTCTGACATTCAGCATAAAGGCACACAATGAAAGTCAAAGTTAACACTACACATAATAAGTGCTAGGCTGTACAGCAGTAACAGGCATGTGAAAGCTAGCATTATTACAGTATGCAAGCATGAATTCTAAGTCGCAAGTACACACGTTTATTTTTGTAATACTTACAGCTTCCAGTTCTTTAATGTCTTCCTCCAGCTGTTTATTTTGTTCACTCATGTCCATTATAAGATTGAACACGGATTGCCTGGGATGCATGCTTCGATCAAACTGATGATACATATTTCTCCAAAACCTGCACAAAGCAGACAGATTTTACTATGCAGGATAAAGATAAATTGCAGAAGAGATACTGTACATAATTTAAACTTACTTAAAATTGAATGATACTGTATTAGGCTCCAAAAGAGTTAGTTCTGGAGAAAAGTCTGGATTATACAGAGGATTTCGATATTTCTTTTGTTCTTCCAGAAGGAATGGCCACAAGGAATATGTCTTCTCCTTTAATCTTAAAGCAAGGAAAGATCAAGGTCAAGACACCTACTGCAAGCAAAAAACAGAAGCTGTACAGCTCAGCATAATAAAATCAATCTTTTTAAAAAGTTTACCAGAAATACTTATACACCTTGAATTAAAAACTCTTGGTAAAATCAATTTCTTCCTGGCCTATGCTAATGTTCGATAGAACTGTCAGTATTACTGTACTTAAGTACTACTGCTTACGCTGTGCAAGTTTTGCAATAAATCCTTTAAAGTACAGTATGAGACAAACACAAACTGATGTAAACTTCACAGAAGTCTCGAAGTCTTCCAGCTGAAGGCATTAGGAGACATCCTATTAATACTTCTAACTGACAATAATTAGTCTTGGGCAGGCAAGAATTTTAATGTTACCTAAGAATAGACTGGGAGAGGGAATGAAGTGATACTTCTAAGCTTAAGCTTACTTTTGGGTGGTGGAAGCAGAAGGCGCCTTAATTTGCCTATGAAAAGATACACTTGGGATTTTTTTCCCAGAATTAGAAAGACCATCGTCAGTGTGCAAAGGCATGAGAAGCACTGCTGTTCCCTAACGCAGATCAACATCATTTTCAGTACTACCAATCCTGCCTCTATTTCTATTCAGAGCCTAAAATGAAAAATATTCACAGGAGTTCTTAGCTGCCAGAATAAACAAGATACATTACAATAACATCCGCTTACTTTAGTTCTTCTCGCTCTTTTTGACAGTTTCCAAGGAAGTTGCCAAACTGGCATGAATGGACATGCTCATGGATCTGAAGGAGGAAAGCTTCATTGTACTCAAAGGCTTGTGGAAACTGCTCAGTCAGATTCCACACGCTTTCTAAAAACTGGGTGAAGACTGGTGAGATCTCTTTCGGATCACCATCCAACTGAGAACACCTGAAAGATTCCATAAAAAGATTAAACCCAGTTTAAATTTAAAGTCAAAAAAGTCTTAGTTGCACTTATTTTAAAAGTGTCAGCATATTAATTTGACACTAGCTTTGGTTTGGATATTAAACACCTAACTTTGAGAACTGGGACGATTTTTGAATAGAAATAAGTTTATATTTAACCTTTTTGCTGACTTGTAAGTAATCACACATCTGTATTGAGTACAGAAAAGCAACATAAGACAGTTAAGCTCCTTTGTGTCTATTACTTCCATAGTCATATTTGGAGTACTCTAGCTAAAAGCAAATTAATAAGCAGTAAAGAGCAGCAAAGCTATTGTCATTGCTGATGATAGGCAGATTAGGAGAAAAACATTCAGGACTCCTAAAAGTAGGCATGACTTCATCATTAAAAGCAAGCATAAATGTAAACTTATTTTTAAAGGATATCATCAGTATTTTATATTACCTAAATAGCTAGGATGTAGCTTTAGATTGGTTTTGCATACGTGCAGACCTGGCTGCAGTCATCAACAGCCAAGAGTGAGGCACCAGTAGCACTAGAAATATGTCTATAACATAAATCAATTATCCAATAGATACTTGAATAAATAAAATACACAAAGTGCATTGTCTACTGAAAATAGCTTACTCATTGCAAGATTTCTAGCAACACTGCAGTAGTTTAACATCCAGTTTGTTGTCTTTGCTTTTTGGATTCTTTTTTAGAATAGTTAGTTAAGTTCACTGTTTTGGGGTTTTGTTTTTTGTTTGTTCGGTTGGTTTGTGTTTTGTTTTTTTTTTTAGTTTATTTTTGTTTTTCATTAAACAATTAAAAAAATACATTTTACAGTACTGGAAGAGTGAACTACCTGTCAGAGAACTTGTGCCCAAAAGAGATCCAGTCTTTCTCTATCAAGACCTAGAGAGTAAAAAAAAAAAAAAAAAAAACAAAAAAAACCACCAAAACAAAACAACACAACAAAACCAAATAGTTAGTTCTAGTCAACACATGGAACTACCTATATGTACTTTCAGGACTTCCCAAAACACCATATATAGCCACTGCAGAACACTACTGATTTTCCTACTCTAAAATTCAGAATAATTGTTCCAAAATTCTTCTTCCTCTCTATAAAAAGATGAAGAAATGTAGATTGCTTAAAGATTTTCTCTTCTTTGTTACTGGGGGAGCTGTCATTTTTAGATTTTAATACTGTTGATTTGGGGACAAGTGACAAAAGCACAGAGGTGCTATAATTTGGTTGATGTACTATCTCACTTAAGCACTTCGGAATCCTTATGTCACAGATGAGGAGTTTTTTGGTGGCAAAAGGCAATCATTGCAACATTTCTGCAGAGTGCCTAAAGCAATACACTATTCGTATTTCAGTTTTCTTGATTTTAAATAAATACTTCTTCCCAGTGGCAAAGTATTTCTAAAAGAAAGATTTATTGGTACACCGCAAATCCAAAAAAAAAAAAAAAAAAGCATCAGTAGGTTTACATTGCTCCCTTTCTCACTCAAAGATTTTACTGCAGCCTTTATTTACCAAAGAACAAATCAACAATGCAAAAACTTGCTTACCATGAATCCTTTGATTGTTCTATAATAGGAATCTAGCAAGAGAGCTCCAAGAGAACAAACTTGGGAAGTCCTATCCCAGCCATCTGAGCAGTGCACTAACACACTTGCACTCTCAACTGCTATTGCCTGCAAGACAGTTGTTTCTTAGTGAATGTTCTATTCCAGGCAGTAGTTAAAATTTAGTAAATACATACAAAAGCTCCATTTATCCCAAACTCGCAGCACAGACCATTTTATTTTACAAAACCAGTTTATTATAGGGAAAGGATTTGATACTGTCAGAAAGCTAGGAATTTCTCTCCATGGAAGTGTAGAAAAATCCTTATAAAAAGAAATTCCACTTCCATCTTTGCACAGGGTAACAAGCACATCTACAACAATTCCCAGCTCTCTTTCCACCCATTATAAAACTAAACTTACAAAACCCCTGTGCAATTCAGAGTAAGAAAGAAGTATAGTACACATTTCAGACTAAATAGGTTAAAAAAAAACCTAGAACATCACACATGTCGCTGAAGATACCCACTTGTTCATCATTAATAATACACAAAGTTAGTGGCTAAGAAATATTTTTGAGGGTTGCCTTTAGGAGAATCATCCACTTCAAAATAACTCTTTGTTGTTTCACTTAGTAAAAACAACCATCCCGGTTATTTTCTTCACCCAGCCGCCCTCAGGTCAAGCCATTGGCTTCACAGGTGCCTGGCAAAGTCTCTTTATGAAAAGAGTCCCATTTCCTTGACAAATGAAGTCAACATAGCCAGTCTGGCTTTTCTGCCACTAGTGTCCCAGGAGTTCTGTCTTTCAGGGTACACTAAATAACAGTTTCTTCCACCTACCTCCAAAATGGCTACAACTTTCATAATTACCTAAAAGCACCAGGAAACATAAGAATCCCTTCATCTCCCAATAAGGTGACCAAAGACCATTAAGAAACAAAAATAATTCCCAAAACATCAGCTGGCACCAAGCATCTATCTCCAAAAAGGCCAGCTGCAGAATTTCACACTGTACAAATTACAATTTTACACTATACTTGCCTGGTGGCAAGTCAACTTCTTATCAAATAAAGCAGCAGCATAGGAGTTACCTTGACTAAGAAGACAGCAGCATCCAACACAGCTTTGATGTGACGCAGCCATCCAGAATTCTCCAAACCAGACAAGAAGTCATTGACTGACAAGCCCTTTGTGCCACTGACTGAAAGAAACCAAGAGTTGGAAAGATGTAAACAGGTACAGCTACCTATAACCTGAACAGAGAAAGAATAATAGTCGTATATTGTTTCTAATGTTCCATGTTGTAAGCTGATTAGAAATCTTTCAGGAAACCACCATTCAAATGATTTTTAACAGAGGGGTACTACAAAGCATTCTCCATCCAAAATTTGACTCTGTAGAACTACACTAACTATAAATGACAGGAGTAAGATCTTTGTGACTTTTTGACAAAGTAACATTTAAAGTAAATACACTGGTTAACCCCAACAGGGAGCTTTACCCTTGCCTCACCAAACAAGGTAAGGGTAAGGCAACAAAAATGCCAAAAGCTTACCAGAAATACTTAAAAATTACAACTACTAGTAGGAAGTAGCTGCATCCAGACAGTATACGCAGTTCATAGTAGTCAGACTGCCAGAGCTTCATCACCTTCTCCACTCTGCTGAGAATAAAGTGAATGCACTACCAGGACATGGTGATGAACTGAAAACCATCTGGATTGTCTATCTCCAGCTCTGACATACTACAATTCTGACTGATGTCTACCACTCTTTCTTAGCAAACTTTAATCCTGTAACAATAATACCACTTGAGAGGGCAGGGAAGAACTCAAAGGAAAGATGCCTTCCAGCATAGCAGCAAGAGGTATAGAGGTAGACTGAAAGTTTCAAACATGGACACAATTCACAAATGAGAAAGATTATCTCATTCTTATATGATACTGAGTAGCAACTCACACAGTTACATTACTGTCAAAACAAGACAAACTTCTGGCAATGATAAAAGAAATACTTGCTGGCTAAACCAGCTTCAGCTACGAGGGATTCTAAAAGAAGATACCAGAGTTTGTCATCCACATCAATACCTGCCCCTGCCACAGTGGAAACCTGCTTTCTACCAAGCTTAGCAGTTGGACTTGATGATTTAAATACCTTTTCCAACCGAAACGATTCTATAATTCTAAGGTAGTGGGCCCCAAATTAAAATAAAAAGGCTCTCTAGCCAAAAGTTATCTGTGGGGATATTCATACAACAGCTGCAAAATAATCTTTGTCTCCAACTATGGCAGGAAGTGAGACAGCAGAAAAAGTAGAGAACAAAATTCACCAAGTCATTCTGTGACACAGTTTCATGTTCAGTCAAATCCCCTGATCTAATGAAGGCTATGACCTCTTAAACCACTGCCTCCTGGACCTTTCCTGCATCTGCACTACATGGTTCTCAGCTTTCAGCCGTAAAAGCCTTTGTTTACTCCCCATTGCTCAGGAGAGTCATAGTGCCGATTGCTGCTGAACACTGTAACAAAGACAGGCTTCCAAATAAGCATTGAAGCACTTTTTCTAAAGTCTATAGATCTTTGTCATCTACGAAACTATCTAGCAAACCATAGCACAATGAGGTAACAAAACATCAAGAAACCCTGGGAGACAAGACCTAATTTTAAAGATTAGTCTGTAAGTATCAGTAAAAGCAGCAAAAGCAATGCTAGTTTTCCCTAGTCTTTCAAAGAGTTAGCATCATTAGGCATGAGTGCTGCTCCTGAAAGGTCTAGCCCACAGAGGAAATCAGCTGAGAACTATTTGATCCATTCCTATCTGATGTAGCTCTCGCTCTCTCTACACCAGTGGTTCCATACACCTGTTCAACCACAACAGTACACAAACAGGTACATAACTCTATGGTAAAGATACTAAAAACATTCCAGTGTCTGTAAACTCAAATATCTGCTAGGAAGGGATTGCACAGATAAGGCCATGTCTACCCCTACATTGTGCACCCTGTGGTTTAAGGCACAAGCTTTCAGCTAGAAAATAAACAGGCTTCTAGCCCTCAGTTTCTTTTCACCCAGTTACTGCTGTCAAAATCTGCTTTTGATCAGAATTTTCAGCTGCGTAGAAATATTTCACCCTTAGTATTTCCCCATTCTAGCTAGAATTCTATATTTTTATAAACCAAGGCAGAGACAAGAACATGTTGAGGCCAAAGAATTACTTTCCATTTCTGTGAGTTAACACAGACATTTTTATACTGCTTAGTGATGAAATAAAGAAATTACATTGACACTGTTTTGACTCAATGGTGGGATAAAAAAACCCCACACCAAAACAAAAACAAAAACCAACAAACAAAAAAAACCAACAAACCCAACACACACATCTCCAGTCCCTTATGGTCCCTAAAAGATTAAAATATGATTTATGGTACCATTAAGATCTTCAGCTACTTCAAAATAACTATAATTTAAGATAGTTTTGGCTATATGGATCCCATCATAAAGACATGTGCCCTGCATGCATCCAAGACCCCAAACCTCAATGTTCCATTGCTTGATTGTTCTTACACATACTACTAGCAATGCCTCATGCAGCAGTTCAAGAGGTGACTAGAACCTGCAGACTGAAGCACAGGGGGTTGGAAGCAGAGGTTGTTTTTAACAAATGAAAAAACCCCAAGCAACCTCATACAGACACTCTACACAACCCACAAACCCCACCCACCCCTTAGTTAACACACTTCCATCATCAAAACATACACAGCAGACCACAGCAGCTATTATTGAGCCTCTTCCTCAAATATTTCCTGCAGAAATGTTTTTTCTTGACATACACAAAACCTGTTTGCTTACCAGATTTGAATCTTTTCTGACATGTAGTACTGTATTTTTGAATATATAAAAACTGGATTTTAATACCACAGCCACAAATTTAGTCTATGTAAGGATTCTTCTACTACTGTTGTACAGATGCCCATCAGGGGAGCAGTGTTGTCATGTCCACATTGACACACTACTTAAAAAAAACTTTTCTAAAGTATCTTGTATTCAGTGAAATAAACCCCAGCTGAATCAAAGAATAGACTGTAAATCCCCCTAGTGTGCTCCATGGTGTAAGTCCCATTACAAAATGATGTTGGGAAGGATTATGTCTTACATACTGCTTGTAAATGGAACCGTTCAGTTCTGAAGGCAAATTGGGCAGATAGACAAAGAGCCTAGGAGCAGGACATGTGCTGAAGAATAAATAACAGTAGTTTGTTATAAATAAAACTGAGGACGGTCCCAGTTACAAAGGCACTTGAACTAACAGGGTCATTGGCATCACATTCCTGATTTGAGAACATTCAGTTCAGCATGTCCAGGGGAAGCTAGAAGTGAAAAAGACATCTTCCTCATTTTAAGCTATGAACCATTTTCATATCATTTCCTTCCTGATCAGTCAACTGATGGCACATTTCTACATGGGTATGAGAAGTAAATTATTGCATATCTCTAAATTTTAAGTGTTCTCCTTTGTCCCTAAGGATACTTCTATTTCTAGACCGGCATTCAGCAAAATTCTACTGAATTATACAGACTGAAGCAGAACTCTGTTCACTTACCCCAAAACCCGATCTGAAGAACAACTACAGATACTACTCATGATTTTGTTTCAAGTTGAGTTTAAATAAACCAATCCTCCACACAGGGGAAAACTAAAACATATTTTATCCTTAACAAATATCTTTCCGTAGCTTCCATTAAGTACTGTTGGTGGGATGCTAAGTCAAATGGAAGGAATACAAAGCCTGAAGTTTAACTGTTGCACACACTTCTTCATCATCCATTATTACACAGGAACAGGCCTCTTTCAAAGAGTCAGTCAAGATTTATTAGCTAATTTTCTGGAACAGAAGATACTAGCAGAAGAATGAGGGATTATACCAAACTTTCCCACAAGTCACTGCCACACTAATGAGGTTCACCCAAGACTTAAGTGCCACTCAGTTGATTTTCTACAAATTAACTCTATTCATTGGGCTTAAAGGTAAAGGTTTAAGGTAATTCATTACCACAGATAACAGCAAACTGGTACTACACAAAGCTGGAGTAAAATATAGAAATATCAATAAAGTTTGGGTAAGCTATCATTGAAGACTTGAGAAAAACATTTATCCTGTTTTCATACATACTGTTATAGCACAGTTAGAACATACCTTCCAAAAGTTTCTGTAAGCTGGATCTCATTACATGAATGTTTTCAATGCCAACAAACTGGAACCTAATGTTAGAGTAGTTGTCTTCATTCTCATAGCCCTTCCCAGCAGCTCTGTTTGCCATTGCATTAAGCTTAAAAACGCAAAATAAAAATATTGAAAAACGGCACTTGAAACAAAAAAGAAATATCTCAAATTAAGAAACAAAAGTCATACAATTTCAACGGAATACACTGGGAAAAGAAACACACAAGAGCACATACAAGCAGATTCCAATGAATTAAGGGTTTGTTGGCATATCAACCAGACAGCATTCAAGTGCAAGAAAGGCATGGTATATAAAAAGCAACAGTCAGTGTATATTTAGAGCTGACATATCCAAATAATGCATTTAATGATTTCCTATTCTCTCCCTTGTATTTCCACCAGCAAAACTTTAATTATTTCTGAATATTTCTGAGCAAAACACTACAAAACAATTAACCTAAAAAGGAAAGACGCAGACCTAGCCAAACATGTGCTTTCCAGGAATCCTAAAAATGTCAATTTTAGGGCTAAGAAGCTAATAAATTGCTGCAGCTATAAAAATTACAACTATAAAAAACAACAATTGGCTCAGCTTCAGTCTTTCAGCCTGATTTGCTGCTGAAAAATAAGCGCAGAGCATACGGTGTAGGGTTTTCACTTTACATACTTGTTTTCCAGATGTTTCTCCTGAATTCAGAGATTTGAATGAAATGAAAACTAATTTAAATGCAGATGGTTCCACAGAGTGAAAGTTACCCCACATTCCAAAACAGGGCAAACCCCCCTCCAACATAATTCACTTTAATTACATAGTGATGAAGTACAGTGGTGAGGCACTAGAACAGGCTGTGCAGAGAAGCTGTGGCTGCCCCATCCCTGGCAGTGTTCAAGGCCAGGCTGGACAGAGCTTGGAGCAACCTGATCTAGTGGAAGGTGTCCCTGCCCACAGTAGCGATTTGGAACTAGATGATCATTAAGGTCCCTTTCAACCCAAACCATTCTTTGATGACCTCAGAAGGCTACATAAGAATTTCCCCTATGTCTTCTTTAACTACGTTGAATGTATTTTTGAACACATCTCTAGAAGTTCACCAGCGTATTCAGTGAATTCTAATGGAATCCTGATTCAGCTTCTTTAAGAAAGCAAGTAATTAAATGCCTGACTAGTGAGGCCTAACTTTACCTTTAAAGAACATTTTTGCCCATGATTGAGTCCTATTTAACTGATTTTTTCAGAATTACACTGTATCCCTGTACTCTAATGTTCAGCAAGACAGGCGGGTCTGTAGAGCCTCAAGTACATACCTTTGGCCTGGTGTCCATGACATACATGTAGCGATTTGAAGGATTAGCTTTACTGATGGCTTGCAGCATGTGTTCATCTTCCAGGCACCTGGCGCTGAAACCTGAGAGAGGTTGACTGCATCTGCAAATTGCAGCCTACCATACAAAACAAAGATCAAATTAGCATCAGCTTCTATACCTGTAGTTGAAATGCTTTGCACCATTCTAAAAAGACAATGAAACAAGTTGTTTCATTTGGCAGATAACAGCATTAAACTGAAAAAAGTTTAGGTGTTCTAACTTTTATCAAACACGTCGCTTGCAGACCTTCACACGCAGCACGAACAACTTAAAAAGTTTATCAAAACTTTTTTTCAGGCTCATCTACATAGGCAAAGTACCAGTTTATATCGACTTTCCCCAAGTATAGAAGTACAAAAAGGTATAGGCCAAAGAAAACACACTTTATGAAAGCAAGCTGCTCTCTTGGTGTTAAATAAAATATGGGTTTACTACTGCAAGTACAATTTTATTACCACAAGTACAATGTTATCTAATGTAAATTGTATTTCATAAGGCACAAGGTGCATCTTACAAATAATCATTATCTTCAAATGCACCCAGTAGCTTAGCACTCATCCCTCAAATTCTTCAACTCTGCAGGGTGACAGTCCTCCTCTCCCTTCAAAGATAACCCCTTAGCCAAGACAGGTAGATGCCACTTCACTCTACCAAACCCTGCAAAACCTTATTTCTCATCCTCTAGTTCTTGCAAATTCCTCCTTAAAAAAACAGCTCTATTGTTTTGGTGGTTTGGTTTTTTTGGGGGGATTTCTTTATTTTATTTTTGTTGTGAGGTTTTTTTGGTGGGGGGAGGGAGGGGTATTTCATCTAACAGATTTTATTCTTAATATATCAAGAAAGACAAATCACTTAACAGAACGATCACTTGACAAAAGTTTTTCTGAAAACCAAGAGATTCAGCTGAAGGATTTCTTTTAAACTGGCTTATCTTAATTCAGGAGCCTGTTAGACACTACTAGTGTCAGCCATATTTAAGGTTATCATGAGTTACACCATTCTCATACACATCACTGTACTTACCTCCTTACCTACCCTGAACTACTGCGAAATACTGAGAAACACTTTTCAGCATATTTGCATTAAGAGGAACATACACTATACCTCTTTATTTTTATGATAATATGACAACACTGGGAACCTTCCTTTGCTTCTGAACTTGGAGCTACCAACAATTATGGGCTTGCTTGCAGTTCTGGGAACATAAAGTTCTCTAGGATAGGTTTCACAAATCTGAAAGAGACAGATACACAAACAGAATTTTATGTACTAGGCACAAAGCCTATACTAGTTTTACTGTATCCAATTTGAGGGATGTTAAGTGAAATAAGGCAAAGGATAAACACTAACATATTTATATATACATAAATAGCTCAGAAGAGGAGACAAGCCATGGATAAAGTAGTACAAATTGGTACCCAAGTTATACAATTAAGCACTGCTATATTAGCATTCACTTCTCAAGAATACCACTTCAGCAGAAATGCTACGACTTTGTTTCAAACAAAACATTGAAATTATTTCCCTCATTTTTAGTATTTGCAGACTATAAAGTAAAATGAAATCTAATCTGGGAATTGGCTGCACAGCCACTGTCTACCACAGCCAACACTGCAAATGCTCAAGTAGAAACCTTCTTAGTTAAGAGGTAACAAAGCTGCAGAGCACCAGACTTTCTACAAATAGGTAAGCACACTCTAGAAACAATCCCAAAGAACACATGCATCCTTGCACACATACCTCTCAATGGGGCCTTGGAAGAAAGTTCAGTTAGAAAGTTTAAGACTGCACACTGATGAAGGAGTACACTCTCCCCACCTGCAAGTTTCTGCTTACACCGCAAGCCAAGTCACTTCATAGTATTAGATTGTTTTCTATAGGACTAGAGTCCGAGGACAGAGCAGAAACAGATGCAGAGCAAAACACATTTCTATTCCAGCACTCACCTTATAATCACGATTTGCATCAGACAACTGCCAGTTTGCATTTGGCACTCCCATTCTCTTATATTCTTCTGCTAGATCAATAAGCTGCCAGCCTTTGAGTTGCTCAGATTCATTTTGTTTTGGATTATAGGAGAAGGCATACAGTTCTTCATATTTTGCTAAAAGGTAAAGAATAAGACTACGTAATAAGTTGCCCCCCAAAACGTCTGAGTGGAGAAAGGCAGCACAGTTGGCAAGTCTTGAGATTGCCCAAATTGTAGAGAAAGTTTCAGGCTTCAAGATTCTCAGAAGCAAGACTAGAGACATACTGGACACTCTTGATGTTATACAGTTAACTGACACAGTTATAGGTACTTAGCAGGTTACGAAAACTTTGAGTGTGCATGGCCTATTTCAGCAGGGACATTTCTAGGTCCATAAGAACAAAGCAGAGGTCACAAAAAGAAAACTGACAAAATTAAACAAGGTAAAGGGCAAAATTATTGGAAGTCTTCATAAGTATTTCATCTATGTAGCACAACAATTAAGAGACTATATGCATTTATAGTCACAATTTCAAGAATAACACTAGAAACACAAAACAATACAGGAATCTCACATTCTCTTAGTGAACATCAGTGACCTATAAGAGCCAGATAACACACCTGAATTTATATGGAAATGAATACTTAACCATTAAAATTCCCCTACATACCAAACCCATTTATTGACTTTTACATAGTGCACATAAAAAAAATAAAATATTCAGAGCCACAGATTTTCCACCACCAGCTTGTTATTCAGGCATATTCTGCAAAGTCTTTTACAGTTAGAAGTATTACCTGTTCTTGACAGCTGAAGCAAAGAGTTATAGATGTCATGACAATCTCTCTCCCTGGGAACAACAAAGTGAACTATCCTGAAGTTCTTGCACTGGATGACAAGGGGGCAGCCAGAAGTAGTCAAGGGAAGTTTTTCCACTGCAGCAATGTGATGATGTAGTATCTGTGGCATACAAAAACTCAGTGTTAGCACACTGACGAAAAATGAGAACAGCAAATATACTGTTTACAAGAGCAGATGTAAGACATATTACGCAATGCTGATTATGGATTTTGACTGATTTTGTCAATCATTTAGTTATAAAAAGAAATAAACTTAGAAGAAGAAATCCAAGACTGGCATTTTGGTCAGGATACCATAATTTCTCAAAATAATTATTTTCTTGCCTCATATTCTGAAGTGCTACCTAATGTTTGTAAGCAATAATAAACATCCTTCTAAATGCAAAAGGGAGAAGTAAAGCTCCACTGTGGTTACTCTTCTGTAACTTGGATAACTGACAAACTTACATTTAATTAGGCAGGGTCCAAACAGGACCTCTTTTTTTTTTTTTTTTATTTTTTAAGGATCTACAGGAACGTATTTCAGAATTCTCAGGCAAAATAAAACAAGTCAGCAAAAGCAACTCAAAGTATACAATACAGAAGATGTTGAAGATTTTAGAATGCCAGTATTTAACACCTACAGAATGAAGAGGAGGTAAGAAAAACATCTATACTACCCATTGTGTTATGTAGACATGACAGTCTCTCACCTAAATTTTGCCTTTCAACCACTTTACAGAAGACTGTCAGTAATGGATATACAAAAGCCCTTGATAGATTTATCTTTGTGGCAAATCTACACAGGATTTAGGAAACTAACAGCTGTTCAATCATTGGGCCGAAAGCCACAGATACATTACCTCAACTGAACAAGATGTTCTTGTACAATTTTAACTACCTCGTTGAAGTAATCATCTTCTCTTAAATATTGATCAGAATTAGGCATCTGAAAACTATGCTGCCAAATATGCATTTGCAAAGAAACTGTATCTTGAAGACATTATCATAATTATACTTGATACTTGCATTATCATCACAGAAATGCAATACTCCGAATATAGACACAATTTCCCCAAAATGAAACTTTTTAACATAGTGCACAGGGAGACACAAACAATGCTTCTGAATCATGTTCTCCCCAGTAACCCATTTTGCATGAAAGGACACAATTTGGTTTATATAAAATTGTACATTGTATCCAAGAACAAATCAGAGAAAAATAAGTTTTCTCGAAAGCACCATGAGGCACCTAGTTGGATAATCAGGATACAGGACGAAGGGTAACCCAGAAAAATACACCTACAGGAAAAAAATTAACCACACCCAGGGAAATGAGATTTCATCCTGAAGGATGACAGGGACTCATTTTGTCAGGTAGCTGAGCTACAGGGGAAGCCATAACTTGATGTCCACATGTGTGCCATTAGCACATGAGCAGAGAAAGCTGATGGGAATTACTGTACTAGCCAACTTTGATGGTACTGCATTGGTACGGGTCACCAAGAAGCTGCAGCCCCTTCTGAATCATTTTATTCCAGAGATGACGATTTGAGAAGAAACTGCTGCTTGCCACTCAAAAAAGGACATGGGATCTTCAATATTTTACAAAAGCCTAGCTCTTTTGATTTTGCCATCTCATTTAACTTAGGCAGGATCTAAATACAAGGTAAATTAACACAGAATTTTTAAACCTGATGTTTAAACTACCTATCAGTTTCCCATTCCCACCTCCGAACTGTGGTGCAAGTCAGTTTTTTAAAGAAACCATCACATATTCACTCAGGAATAGAAATGAAGGCTACAGAAGAAATTACAGAAGCTTGAGAAGTGAACATTTTCAACAATACCCAATTTCAACTGCAGCAGTGTCATGCAAGCGTACAATCTGTAAATCATTAACTTATGACAATATCATGAACAAGAGGAGCGTGGGGAATAACTTCGATGAACATTTCAGCAAACAAATTCAACCTTAGATCAGGAAAAACAAATGCAGCTGGAGAACCTCAGCTTCTGAGCTGCAAGCATTCATCATCCTTACCCATGTCTCTCTCTGGCTTGAATCTATGAATAACAGATGAGTTGCTGTAAGGTATAGCGTTCCCGTCAGTGACTTATTGCTCGTGCTAAACCTATCTAATAATTTCACTTGCTCTACCTGTAAGAAAAGAAAAGAAGGCAGAGAGCAAAAGTTAATTTTGGGGTGGGTTTTTTTTCCACGAAGCAAAATCCTAACTGCAAAAAGGTCTGTCCGTAGAAAACAGTAGAAAGCATGACACAGCACACACATAGCTATTCAGGCCAAACTATTAAGAACACAATAGTGGTGACATAAGCTTTGAGAAAACTGACTAGCTACAATATCCTGTTTCAGTACAAAAGTGAATAATGAAGGCACAATGCTAGACTCAGAACTACTATCGTTATTTACTAGTAAAATAGACCAGGATATCAAGGGGTTTTTAAATAATTAAGAACATTAATAAGCTTTTAGACTCCTTCCCCAGAACAGCAAACACACACTAACAATTTCCTGTTATTGAGATGCCAGCACTGAATTAACAGCTCATCTCAAACATGCTTCATTGGCTCTCTGCAGGCTCAAATCCATAAAGCTGATATCCTTCCTGACTTCAGTTTTAGGTATCTACTGTCTTGTATATCATCCCCAACTTTAAAAATCTAGATCATTATAACCTTGCCTCGGTCAAAATAAAATTCTAATGGTATACTAATAATTTTAACAATCTCCTAGAAATTTAAGGACTGCGCTGGCATTGGAAGTAGAGTTTCAGCCTTGAGTCTTGCAAGGGCAAATTTCTCCTCCTGGTATTCCATCCACATTCTTACCTTAATCCTATAGAAAATGTTTCAAAAGAAAGTGATTTCTAGATAGCCTGCATTTTATCTGCTGCTTATAACTTCACAGACTCCACAGCTTGCTTTATTTGAAGAAAACATTACATGATTCTGTGTGCAAAAACAGGAAAGGAGAATGGCTTATCTCCACACATTCCTCTTTTTTGGCAGCACTGTGTCATTAATGTCCAGTTAAAGCTCTTTTGCTTGAGGCTTGCTGTTACTGACATTAAATGCATGACAGAACTCCAAAAAACTTCTACACCAGCAAGACCAGCACTGAGATGACAAGGACAGCTCACATCTACTGTGCTGATGTTAAGCCTCTTTCAATGCACGTACACAAACTTATTTATCTACTAAAAGCACATATAAGACACAAAATTGCCTTTACAATTCAGGTATTTCTTACAATCTAGCAAGGCCTGATTTTGTGTCTGAAAGTTAGAAAAGCCACTTAATGCATACAAAACAATGGAGGAAACACAAACATCGACTTACAATAGGTTTCAGTTTAGAAAGCAAAAATAAATAACTGGAAGCTACATGCATCAGTACCTCAAAATACATTATGCTGTAACCAGCAAGGTTACATTGCTCAGATACAGAGGAACATAAATCAGTAGAGCACAGCCGAAACAGAGTTCTATTTTGGGCAGTTCTGCAGCAGTAACTGTCTAACCTGTATCTGCACCTCCTCAGCTAATCGAGAAGTGCACAGAAATTGCTCCTGTTTTGTTCCAGTAACACAACCCAGAAAATCCTGGCATGTGAAGTTCCATTCTCCTCCATGTAACAAGGCAGCTATTCTGAAAGCTGTATTTCTTTGTTAGATAAGGACAGGCATCAGTGCTCCAGCTTCCTCTTACATAGGTGAATACTTGAAGAATTCTTAAAGATCACCAAAATGTAATTCAGATTCAGCCTCCACAGATGACATGTTCATATAAACTTAACCCAAACCAGCTTTAACAGGTACTCAGCTAGACAGACACATTTTTTTCTTTTTAATTGTAAAGTTTGGCAAGTCCTTGGTTACAGAAAAACATGTCATTCATCAGTTCTTCAGAGAATGGGTTCACAAGATTAAGAAACTGAAGACTGCTATGGAGTTTTAGCACATCTGTACGCAAAAATATCTGCAGTCACAACTGACATCTGACAGCAACTAACAATAATGACTTAGTGAGTTTCTAAACCAGTAAGAATTTGAACAGCTACCTCAGTAATATAGAGCACTTACAGTGAATGAATCACTGAACAGTTTATTGGAATTAGGAGTTACTGACCAAAGGCAAAAAACCCAAGAAAATGTTTCAATAGACAAGTTATAACAGAAAAGAAGGCTGAAATTACACTTCTGAAGTCTTGCATTAAAAAAAACCGGAAACGTTAAATGAGAACAATTAATCCAAGACAAAACAATTACAGTATGTTATTCCAGGATTCTTTTACTAGACATTTGCTGAATGTCTTTCCCTTACCCATCTAAGTTTCAGTCTTGGAAACATAAGTTTAGGATTTAGCAACCAAGGTAAGCAAAATTTTCCATCCTCAGTAGAAGACCCACCAGTATTTAACTAAAACAGATTTGACTGAAGAAATTTGAGTCTTTTCTACCTTACTTTGCTTTAAAGTATTTTTAAGAATACTTTAGTTTTAAAGCTTCATTGCAAAACCACAATACTCTTATTTGTAATTTCACCACCACATATTGTAAACTGGCTTTCATCATTTGTTGCTATTTAAGTATAAATTTCTCAGACAGAAGTGATTACTGCGTAGACCTCACTTCTTTATTCAGCATAAATCTGCTGGACAGTTTAATTTCACAAGCAGCTAAACTCTATTTCAGAGAGCTGTGCCGACAGTTTCAAGACAATTCTAACTTCAACATTTCCAGCAAACTGAAGTTTGAGGAAGAATAAAACCCATTTCATCATATTCTCCAAGGGATGACAGCTTCCCTGGACAGCAGTTAATTTGTGCAAGACTGCACTGTTATTTCAAGCTTATTTCATTATTACTTTAATGAAACAAACAGAAAAAAACCTATGAAGTGTTGTCAGATTAGAAAAAGTAGATGTGTCTAATAGCTGGAATGAAATCCAACTTGAACCTGCACAAGCACTGAAGTTTTAAGGCCCACAGTGCAGGTTGTACTTTAGTTTTCTTGCTTCCTGTAACTGTAATGCTTGGAATTACTAACATCTAACATATACGCTTTTTAATCCACCTGGATATTAAAGAAACTAACAGATACAAAAAGTTAAGCAAGCATCACAATTATAACCAAAACCTCATGCTATTTCTAGCTATGAATTTGATACTTTTAGAATAGGTTGGGTTTTTATTTTTAATTATAAAGATAATTGCTTCAAGCAATAAGTCTTGTATCTTGTAAGTTGTATTCAGAGCTAGTTTCTCGCTCCAGCTATATTGCTACATGAAGTATTTTTTTTCCCCAGCAGGGGCCCAACAATGTGCAGAAACACAATGACCTACAGATGGGAAAAAGTCAGTGACCTGTACCTTTCTAGTCTCAATTTCAAGTTTTAAACTTAATCAGGTACTCGGATCATCAAAAGACTTTAGCTTTAGTCTAGTTTTTATTTTGAAGTTAGGTATTGACTGCAACAATATTAAGTTTCCAAGCAAGAAGTTTCAAGTTTACAAGTAAATAGGCTGATAAAGAAACCTTATCTCCAACCTATGATCTTGGTGTAAGATTATTTCATCCAGTAATTTAGTTTACTGGATGTCATGTGTCACTAAAAGCAGCTTCATCAGAGACCTTCCTCCTGTTTCACATATAAACATGTGAACATATAAGAAAAATGAAAAGTAGCTACTCACATTTTATATAAAATTTATAAGGTATTAATAAAAAAAAAAATCACGGTTCCTTTATATAATTATTGGTTAAAGGACAACTACTTAGAGCTGAAATATGACCACTCCTTTTCTCCACACACCTATAAATCTCACTTAAAGTCAAGACTGCCAGGCTAGGGAACTTGACAGTTTCCAGAGGCAGTCTTTACAGCAGCCCTTGCAGTAAGGGCTGATGAGCAAGATGAGGCAGACACTGCTAGAAAATAATTCTGTAAGAGCTATGACTTAAAAACTTAAAAATATTTACAAAAAGAACGACCTTTTTTACATTTTTAATATAGATGAAACACAAACTAAAAATAGGAAAAAAGCCCAGAAAAGTCTAACGCGCCAACTGCAGCTTAGCTAATGTTTCTGAATAGCCTAACACATTGCACGCATACTGATAGTCTGCGTTCCTAACAACACACGCCACAGCCTTTGAAAAGAAGAAAAAAAAGAAAACAGCGTTGTTTTCACAGCCCATTTGCCTCCAGAGCTAGAATAAGCTGCATTGAACCGCATCCAGAGTACAAAAGCCAACTGCGGCCGTCTCCCAGCTGGCTGCTGCTGCTGCTCCCCACCCCGCACTACACCCCTCTTGCACCAGGAGAACTTTTATCGCCTTCTCCTCATTAAGGGCACGGTTCAATCTGCGGGGCCACCCCGGGGAGGCACGCACCGAGC